CCCACCCCCACCCCAAGGGACATACTCTATTCCAAGAGACACATTGCACAGGAAAGTCAATGCCCATGTTTTCCAACAGGCTTTTTCCACTTATTGTCCTAATCCCGATATAGCTACCAACGATAAATAACGTTGCCTGGTAACACAGCAGGCATTCCATATATGTCTTAACTCATTAGGTTTCCACTGTTACGGTGCTGGGGAAAGGTAAACCCAAAGTCATCTTTTCTTGCAGAAAGGGTTTAAAACCATCATTAACTCCTCCTTCCCAAAGATGTTCACATCCCACAGTATTTATTAGTAGTTTATCCTTTATCAGTGCATTATGTGGTACCTTCTAAATGTCTGTATTTTGCTTGAACTTAGGACATAATGTTTTTCAAAAATAACATTGAAGGAATGGTTAGATTTTCAGTGTAGCCCACAACAGCTATAATGCAACAGAAATAGTCTTTAAAAGTAGCCTTGAATCTTAAACATTACCAAGTTGGAAAGGTTTCTAAGCCCTGAAATGAAGAAATTCTCAGATGAGTTCTTCTAAATTGGAGAAAGACATTCTAATAAAGGTATAACATATTAATGAGGTTTAATTTGCATTTGAATGATTTAGGCCTCATATCAGTGTAGCAATGGAGTGCGGGTATAATGTAATCATCCTTTAAATTTTTTCCTAGGTAAGCGATGTTAATGATGATGTCAGGAGGGCAGCTGTAGAATCACTTGGGTTCATTCTATTCAGGTAATAATTTCTAACTTCTGATTCTATTTATATTCTATTTTTTTACAGTCATTAACTAAACAAACTAAAATATATGAGGGATATAGCTAAGTCCAGAGTGAGGACCATTTAACGATTAGATTAATACTGTGCAATTGAAAAAGAAACATACATGTCTTGAGATTATGAGAACCTATTTGAGAAGCAGTAAAATAACTTAATTATTATTTATCTTTGTTTTTTCATACCATTTCTGCTTATTCACTTAATTTTTAAAATCCAAGTAATATCTTCAGTGTTCCTCTTTCCATGTATAGTGGAAATTCAAATGGGATGCTGTCTGTTACCCAGATTTATGGAGTTCTTGAAGACATGTCTTGAGATTATGAGAACCTATTTGAGAAGCAGTAAAATAACTTAATTATTATTTATCTTTGTTTTTTCATACCATTTCTGCTTATTCACTTAATTTTTAAAATCCAAGTAATATCTTCAGTGTTCCTCTTTCCATGTATAGTGGAAATTCAAATGGGATGCTGTCTGTTACCCAGATTTATAGAGTTCTTTTTCATGAGAGTACAAGGTTTGTTTAAATGAAAAAAAATGCACATTTGTAGATTTAAAAAAGCTAGTTTGGAATTGGAGATTTGGAGATGCCTTTGGCAGTATGGCATAGTTTTGATGAAAAGGTCATACTGCCTGGGTTGAATCCTGGCTCCGCGACTTATTAGCTGAGTCTTTCAGATTGTTATTTAGCCTCCTTGAGCCTCAGATTCCTCATCTGTAAAATGGCTATGATAATAATACCTACTTTTAGATTTAAAAAAGCTAGTTTGGAATTGGAGATTTGGAGATGCCTTTGGCAGTATGGCATAGTTTTGATGAAAAGGTCATACTGCCTGGGTTGAATCCTGGCTCCGCGACTTATTAGCTGAGTCTTTCAGATTGTTATTTAGCCTCCTTGAGCCTCAGATTCCTCATCTGTAAATTGGCTATGATAATAATACCTACTTGAGAAGAGTGATTTTTGACAGTAAAGTGAATTAATATCTAAAACCTTTCGGACTGTGTCCGGCATTGCTATTTGAGTGTGTGTCAGTGGACATGGTGGTGGTGGTGGTAGACACAGTAGTCCTCCAGCAGTTCTCACTTTCTGCTCAGCTCTGATCTTAACACTGTTCTGGTTTCGATTCTATTTTTGTTAGCTAAAGTAAAAAATCCTACTCATAGTCTCTTTGTTTTGTTTTTTCATTGTTAGCTATTAATTCTTCCTATTAGTGACTTTATATTTCACGTCATATAAATCAGTGGCCTAGTGTGCATATTCTGCTCCATAGGAAGTTAATGGGCTAATTGAAAACTTTTTTTTTTTCCTTTTTACCTCAACAGGGCTTTGCTCTCTAATTATCAAAATTCATTTCTACCCTTGGGTTTTCTGTAGCTCACACATATGCTAAATTCCCAGTTTCAGCAGCAGATGTCTCCCTGGAGTTGCTTTCAAGCTTTGCTGAGATCTCTACCTAGATAGTCAGATCCAGCTGAATTGTTCGTGTGCTCGTTAATTCTAAGGGACCATTCTTAAAAGAAGTAGAATCTGCAAAAGACTTTAGAGATGGTTTTATCTCAAACTTATGTCACAGATGAAGAAAATTAAATGTGATCAGATTGTCTCAGGAGCTGCAGTTAAAACCAAGTTCTCTACATTTTAGATTAGTACCGTTTTCCTGGAGTGAGAATTTTGAAAGGTGAAAGAAACTTAGAAATTAACCAATAGTCTCATCTTTTTAAAAGAGAAAATTGAATTCCAAAATGGTTAATAAAATTTCCTATTGTCGCAGAGCTAAATGATGGAACTGAAATTTCAGAACAGTTCTCGTGACAGATCAGTGCTTTCTCCACCGTTCCCTTCCATAGAGCACTCTCTGCCCGGGTGGCTCTAATAGAACATTTTCTTCTCAGATTTCCTCATTAACTTTAACATTTGAAAAGTTTCTGTCCTGTCTCCTAAGAATAGTAAATGTTTTCTGATATGTCATCATTTACTATCTGAGTGTGTGTTCCATTTTATCATCCTTTTTAGATGTTGCTTTTAAAATAACTACAGACCATTGGCCTTCCTAAAACATGTCTTAATGATTTATTTCTTCATAACTTTTTTAACATCTTTTTAAGTGTACTTATTGGACACGAATACTGCAAACATATCAGTAAACATGTATTTGTACTTCAGCAACTAATGTGAAATTGTCTTTGTGGGAAATTATATTATCTTTATTATCCAGGGAGATAATCCAGGGAGTTGTAGTATTTTCACTGTTTTTCTCCTGATACTTGTGGATTATTTGTTCATTATGTGTATGATAAAAATAGAAAATTAAACAGAAAAGCATTCTTGCCTGGTTGAAGTGAACCTAGTGTATTTTCGATCTAATACATAGGTAATTATTGGGCTCATTGTTATCAGTCTAATCAGCAGATTTTAGTGTAACATTTCTTTCTACAATACTGTGCTTGACATCGAAACTCAATTAGAATTTATCAGAATCTAAATTATTTTAACTTGACATTGGAAAGAGAAATAAAGTTAAAAGAAGCATTGGTCTTTACATACTTTTGAAATAACATTGCTATAATGGTGAGCAAGTTGATCTGATATAAACTTTTCTTAAAATTAGACAATCTTGGAGATTCTTAGTTATCTTTGCTATATGAATTAAGCTGTTACAGTATGAAACTAAGCAAAGAAATTTTTTTTCAGAAATTGAAGCTAAATAGTTTAAAGGTTTTATAGTTAATTTTGTAAGTGCGCATTTGTTTAAGCACATACACAGATTCGGGGTATAGAGCATGTGGGAAGGTAGTCCTTCTAGATTGTCTAGGGGTAGAACTTTGGCAGTGTGATTGCCATTTCTAGTATTTAGATTTCCTGAACAATTATATATATGTCTTCAGATACATGAAGTTTGGGATACTGTTAGAGTGATACCTGGACTTAATCTCATGTGACTTGGCAACAATATAAATATTAACGTATGCCAAACCTATCATATTAGAAATAGGAACCGAAATAGAGAATTTTTTTTTCTTTCTTTTTTAGGAACCTAAATTATTTTGCCTCTTATGTGAGATAGCCCACCTCAGTGCTGCTGGAAAATCTTAGACTAGTGGGGGGAAATGCCTAAAGCTTGGGTGATTTAGAAATTAAAGTTGTACGGTAAGGTAAGCTCTTTCTGGCAGATGGCATAGAGCCTATAAGATCTATGTATTAGAACCATGTTCTAGAAAAAGATTCTGCATTTGGCAAATATGTACCTGGTTCACTTAGGCTGAGCTTCTCATAGCCAACATGTTTCTTAAAGTAATTTTCTTAAGCTGAGTTGTGTGGAGGACAGCAATAGAGCAGTAGGTTGAAACATCAGAATGAGTCAGTCCGAAAAGGAAAAGCTAAGATATTGCCTGTCTTTACTGCAGATCCCCTCAGCCTAAATTTGTTCACTATTTATGGAAGTAGAATAAAAATAAAATATCAAAAGTAAGTAGAGTTGTCCACCATTTAAAAAGTACCGACATGTACTCACCCTCATTAGAACCCTATGAAGTGCAGATGAGGAAACTGAAGCTCAGAGAAATTTAGTGTCAGGTAGTTATTAAGTGACACAGATTGAATTTATTCCCAGATCTAGCACTGTGAAATGAAATAACCAAAAGGTGAATTGGAAATTTTGTGCCCAAAGTTCAGACAAGTCTTTGGGCAAGCTTGGGCAGCCATGATTTCAGTTTATGAGATCATTTACGTTTAGGTGCCTGGACTGAGGTCCCATTTCTCCAGTTAGCATGTGTTCTTTAAGGAACTTGAGATTTAGGTACCCCAAAGTGATTTCATTTGCTTTCTCCTCCTTCTCCAGTACACCCACCTCTGCTGAGTAGATGCCTGGTACCCACCATTTAACAAACAGCTCTAGTTTCAAGATCTTATTTTGTTTGATATCCAACTACTGTTCTCCCTACCCCTTCCATCAAGACAGTTTCTTGATCAAAGCAGTCATGATTTCATTTAAGCCAGACTGTATCTCCAGTGTGATCATTATTTTATGTACTTATTGTTAGTCCTCTGTTCCTATCACTGTTGTTCCGTGTTATACTTTTAAAGTGTCAAAGAAAAGATTAATATTTGTTTGTTTTATTCACAACATAGCTTTGCATACTATTTAGAACTGAATAGATTCATATGATGACATTGGGGGTTTTTGGGGGGGTTTGTTTTTTTTTTGGTTTTTTTTTTAAGCCTAAAGTTCATAATTTTATTTCATTTGACTACCTTAACATTTAACCACAGTGCTGGATTGTTTTAATTTGTAGCTGTACAAAATGACTTTTTTCATTGAGTAATTTTGTACAAATAAACAAAATTGGGCAATCTTAATACATAACTCTTAAAGAGATGATTTGATATGTAAGTTCTTTATATAATTCTTGATACATTTATATCTTCATCATCTTATCCATCTTTATATTAGTTAATGAAAACTGTGCCATTCCTTCTATACATAACTGACTTGCTCTTCAGTTTTGTCGCCTTCATTTTCGGTAAGAAGGAGTGTATCTAGTAGAATGATTGAAGAAGACTGCATGGTTGAACTTCGAAGCCTCATTGGGCTCTGGTATATGGCAGGATTAATCCCATTTCTCATTCCATGTTTTATGAAAAACTTAGAGTTCTCTGCCATTTGATTCCGGAAGTAGATATTACTGGAGCATTTTTGAAGAGTTTTTACTGATCTCGTGGCCCGGTAATTACAGGTGATGTATCGGCCAAATGCGTCCCTGAATGTCTTGTTGAAGAGAGTGTAGACCAGAGGATTCACCCCTGAGGAAACGTAGCCTATCCACACGAATATCTCCAGGAGCATTGTGAGAGTAGTCTGGTTGCAGGAATCACATAAAACTAAAGTTATATTTGTAATAAAAAAGGGGCACCACATCAGCAAAAAGAGGAAAAACACAATCCCTAGAACCTTGGAGGCTCTCTGTTCGTTGGAAATGGTCTGCAGTGACTTTCTTCCTACTGTAGACATTCTTCGCATAAGTATGTCATCGTTTGAGTTGGGCAGAGTTTTGTCCTTGTGAGAACCGTCCAGCATTGCCACCTTTTCAGGTGATGAGCAAAGTGTTTCATCCCTTTGGAATACTGTGGACACAGTCAGCCATGTTAGGCGTTGAGGTGGCTTGTTTTTGACCAAGTAAGCTTTCTTTTGTAAAGTATGGATGGTGAGAAAGTAGGTGACAATCATGATTGCCAGAGGTATAAAGAAGGAAGCTAGTGAGCCAAAGAACATGAAATTGCCAAAACGTTCCTTGGTCAGCCCACAAGTGACGTTATTTGAGTTTCCCACGTCAGTTCTTATCCCTTTAATAGGGACTGGAACAGCAATGCCTAAGGAGGAGGAAACAGGATAAACTGAGTTAATTTTATGACCTTCGACTCTTAGATTAGGTCCTTTCAGAGTTCATTTTAGTGACTTTATGTGGTTAGTATATTGTAATTCCTTGTACCCACAATGCAGAATCTGTCATAGCACTTAATCAATGGAAGTAATATTTGGCAAAATAGAGCATAATTAGGCATACCTGCTGTTTTTAAACAGCGATCGGTTAGTGATTTCAGGTTCATAATTAAGACTTCCCTGAAGCTGTAGTACATTCATGAAATGGCAGAGCGTGTCTTCATTTATTCTCCATTTCTCATAATCTGTTTTTGTGTGTTGATCTACCCCAGGTTAAGGAAAAGGAATTCATAAGAGAATCTGCTCTGTCTTTATATCCAGTATAGGTGATCTAAGAGACTTCAGAGTACATTTGTGCAATATCTTAATTCTGAGTAGATAGCTATTATCTTTGAGGTTACACAGTTTCATTTGACAGTTTTATCTTTTGATGTTTATGAATGTTTTTTAATCTTTTCCTTCTTAGGGAAAACCAAGAGGTTCATTTTAATGCTATTTACAATTTTGAGAGCATGTGAATCATGAAATATATTTTCAAGATTGAGTTCCTCATACTAACTTTCTAATATTTTAAATACCATGAAGTAAATATTTAAATATGATCTTGCTTAGTGAAGTAGCTTACTAGGAAGATAAGTAACACAAAAGTTAGCCTGAATCCTTTCCCTTTGAAATAGCAGATATTTAAAAATAAGTCTGAGTTAATCTTTAGAAATTTCTAGAATCCTTGTGTTGTTTTATGAATCTAAAAGTACTTCGTTATCTGCACAGCCTTTTTATGGTAGCTCAAGAGCCCTTGGTGAGAATGTTTTCCTCAGACTCTTTGTAGTGGAGGCCACTGCTTTTCCTGCTTTTCCCCAGAAACACCACCAGAAAGAGGATTCTGTACACTTCCTGTTCTACACTAGGGGTCAGCAAACAACAACTTGAGGGCTAAATCTGGCCTGCCTTCTGTTTTTGTAAATAAAATTTTACTGGAACACAGCCATACTCATGTGTTAGCGTATTCTCAATGGTTGCTTTTGTTGTACTGCAGAGTTGAGTAGTCGTGACAGAAACCATACAGAGCCTGCAATCCCAAAATATTTACCATCTTGCCCTTTACGGAAAAAGTTGGCTGACTCCTGCTCTACCCTCTTACTTCCAGATAATCATTCCATTGTTCTTTCCCCCAAAACACTTCCCCTGTTAAAATCTATTTAATCTGCTTATACCATTTGCCAGCCTCCAGGCTCTTTGCCCGTGTTGCTTAGTAGCGCCTTGCTATCGTCTTCCCTCCATTGCTCCATTGCTGTCATCCTACTGATGACCCTTCTGACACCTTAACTTTATATTTCTTTAACTCCTCGACTCTATTATTATATGTACTCCTGAAGCCATCCATAGTAAATTCACTTAAAACTATCCTCTGTCTAAAATCATGAACTCTGATATTTCCCTTTCTTGTCCTGCTACTACTCTTCATTTCTATAGAACTTCTCTTTACTGTTATTTTGACCTCTAGTCCATTTGTCTCTGTTTTCACGTTCCATTAACTCCATCAAGGCTCATATTACCTTCTCAACCAGCTGTTGGTCAGTAACATTTCAGTTTTCACTGCTATTTTTGTATGAATCTCTTATAAGTTAATATCAGAAAAACAAACAGATTCACAACAAACAGTTGTGAATCACAACAGTTGTTGTGAATCTGTTTGTTTTTCTGATATTAACTTATAAGAGATTCGAGTTATTTATGCTCTACTTCATGCTAAGATACCGTATTATAGCAGCTGTCTGCATATTAAAGATAGGCCCAGGGTCATAAAACAGTTTAGAAGAAATATGATTTCTTTCTCTAAATCATTTCTGAACATCATTTACATCTCTCTTAAAACTTCTAATTAAACATTTTGATAACACTTAAGCACTTATTACCTTTAGTATGAAGACATATTTGCTTCCAAGATGAATTTATGATCTTTGATACCTGCATACAAAATGTTTGGGGTTTTTTTTTCTTTTCTTTTCTTATTTATCTTCTTAGATGTTAATTATGATGCATTTCTTTTTTTATTATTTTAATATTATTTCGGGATTCTGTGTGTTACCCAGACCATAATGGTCTGTTGATCAGTACGAAAACTGTTTTCAGACTTAGTCTTCATGCATATTAAAATCAAAGTAGAAAGATATCAGTACACACTATGAAGATGGTTCTTTCTGCTTTTTCACACTTTTTACTGGTAGTATGGTTTAGAAGCTATACGATGAAAGTAATGGCATAAGGAGCTTGTGTTGGTTTATCAGGAAACTGCCTTGACCTCTTGTGCTGAGTTTCATGGCCTACCAGGCCTGGAATTCTCCTGGCCAAGTGGAACCAAAGGCTGTATACACCACCCCACACCCTGATGTTCCCCACATACCTATTGAAATTAACCACACCACTGTAATCTTGATGAATGCTGTAGCTCGTGAATTACATTGATTGGCCTGGATTGGCTTTTTGATGGCTATGTAACGATCCACTGAAATGGCGCAGAGATGCATAATGGATGCAGTAGAAAAAAGAACATCAAGAAATAACCAGGCAGGGCATAGAACAAGTGGGAGGGGCCACATAGCTTCTGAAAGAAAGAAAAACAAAACAGAAACATAACTTCTGCAAAATGGCAACCTTCAATCTGCAGTTTCTCTTTAAAGTGATACATATTTTTTAACCTTTTTGTTATTCATCTAAAATGTTAAGACTTAACCTCCACAAGCTAATGCTTAACTTCAGATAATGGAATCAATAATATTAAATATATTTCCGTAAGTGATATCTTTTAAATACATTTTCTGCTTTGTATATTGACTACAACCCTTTTTCCAAGTCAGCAGCAGTTTAGCATTATTTTGGCCTATGCCCATTTGTTCCTCTTGTGATCTTTTAAAATTTTACACAGTGTTGCACCTAGAACTTAACCTTGCTATTCAAATAAATTTTATTTTTCAGCTGCTTTTGTGTAAGAAGAAAACATTTTACCGTATGGAGGAAGCGATTTAATGTGCAAAAGGAGTATTAGAACAGGAATCTCAGTGAGGCCAGGGATTTGGTATAAACCTTGTTTATAGCAAACTCTCATTTGGTGGAATGATTTGAGGATATTTTGTGGGGTTTTTTTGTTTGTATTTTTTTTGACAGAAATAGTTTTTGAATATAGTTTGTAAGCAAAAGGAATGGCTTCAGATTATCCTGAGGAAAAGAGGATTATTATCCTTCCATATAATAATAAACGAAGTATAATAAACGATACAGACCTTTGGTTCAAAAAGAAAACCTCTGGATTAGACATAGTACTTAACTTATTCAATTAGATTCAGGTAATCTAAGAGTTTATACAATTTAAAAACAGTTCTAAACATTCTCAGTTTACAAAGGGACTTTTCCTAGTCCAAGTACTTTTATTCTAAAATTATCTTTTCAGTTCATATTAATTTGATAGGCTCAAGGTCAGAAAAGTTTCTTACTATTGAGAATAACTGTAAAAGGTTAAGTTGGTATGGTGAGATAGATTAACTATTCGAAAACTTTATATGTTGTTTTTATTAGAAGTTTCACTCTTTTAAGCATTTATTTCCAAAAGAACTTAATATATTATTTAAAATGGAAGTTACAGATTTACATTTTAAAAAAGTATATCTAAGAGGTAGTCTAAGGGAAATAAGTTATCATATACTTGAACTAAATTAATTCTGCTATTCTGGGGCTCTAAATTTAACCTTTTAAAAAGCTACTAGAGAAGCGAGAAAACATTAAAATTATATAGCATTTGTTGTCCTACAAAAAGAAAGCACACAAAATTTCTCTGAAAAACAAATCCCATTTTCTACCTCTTTCTTCCACCCAGTTCCAAATTCAAAGAAGAATTTAATTTCAATAAGATTTGAATAATGGCATTTCTAAGGACACCTGCACTAATTACAGATTAATCATTATAGAAGCAAAACAAGGCTTAGATGAGTCTGGATCATAGACAGTTTATTATTTACCTTAAAGTATTAGTAGCACAATTTTTTTCTGTTTAAAATGAAGACTTATGTGCTTTAAATACATCTATACATAACGAGTGGTAGAATTGCCATTCAGTTAACGTAAGTTTCTGTTTGTCTCCCAGACAAGGTTCAGCAATTTCATGCATAGGCCTAAGCCTGATATCTTCTTCAGATAAGAGGTCTGGCAATCCTCCAAAGAATTCATACATATATTGATTAAGACCCAGTTATTCTGTATCATGTATTATGAAATAGAACTTTAAAAATTGTTGGGTTCTGCCTTTGTAATAGAGAAAATTTTATGGCCGTCTTGTTAGCATTATTTAAGATATAAATGTTGGCTGTTTGTCAAACTTAACATTTTCGATTGGAATAATTTCTCATTTCATTTGAGAAAGAGTAATAGAGACTAAGAGTGTGAATTCTAGAGTCAGTTCTCTTGGGTTCAGATTATGTCTCTGCCATTTATTTTTATGTCCTTTTATAAAATGGTGATGATAATACTATTTTTATAGGGTTGCTTTGAAGAGTAAATGCAATAATACATATAAAGTTTTTAAACTATCTCTTGCATGGAGAAAGCACTCATAAATGTACTGGTATTGTTTAACAGAAACTAGCCAACTAGCTTAACTGTTAAACATTCTTCCTTAGAAACAATAAGCCATATCACCAGTATAAAATCAGTGTGTTTATCTTCCTGCCTGCTATAGCAAGCGTGCCTGCATGCAGTTGACCTTAAAGCTGTACTTCAAGAAGGGCTTGAAAACATGTTTAACTTTTAATTTGTCTTGAAAGTATGCCTTTTACTAAAGGTGAATTTTAACTATTCTTTTTATATACATATACGAGAGTTCTGGTGTAGCATCCATTTATATATATAAATGTCAAATAAACATTAATAACCCATAGGCATTGCCATGCCTGTTTTTTTGTTTTGTTTTGTTTGCTTTGTAACTGGTATAAAACCCTGATTTTTTTAACCAGAAACTGTTTTTTAACAAGAAACCAGAATTGTTTCTTGATGAGATAGACTCATTTTATTTTGAAACCTGTTTACCCTTTGGGCAGATTTTTAGCTTGGAAAGCTGTGTTATGTCATTGGTTCAGAAAAAAGTTGACAATCTATAAATCTGGGCCATAAGCAAGTTTCCTTTTGAGGATTTAAAAGGCTGCATTTTTAAAGCAATTCTTTGAAGGCTGTGCCTATAGCGTTTACTGAGGTAAGTGGTTCATGAGTGGGTGGGTACAGGACAAATCCTAAGTAGACTTGATGTTTAAAAAGGACATGGTTTTCAAGTACACATTTTTTTAATCTCAGAAATTTTTCTCTCTTTGCTTTCCAGAAAAGAGAGACAGAGACCAGTGCTTAAATGTTTATTATGAAGCTTCTGGGGGTTTTTTTGTTGTTTTTCCATTACATTTGAGAATGTGAACTATTGTGGGGTTAGATGTCTGATGTGATAGTGTTTTAAATGATTCAAGTGATTTAATACTTATAAAAATTTTTCTTTGGTCTTTAAAATTTCCACTTTCCAAAAAGAAGTGCCTTTAATTGCTTCGCTCCTTAATTTAAGAATTGGGTAGATGAGCATTTTATTGTACAAATGATGAACCGATTTATTGTACTGCTACACATCTGTTTCATCTCTGGTCAGACTCACATCTAAACTAAGTCACATATTTTAAGTATATAAACCTTTTGCATTCTGGACTAATACCTGCCAGTTATCAGTGCCTATAATGCTCTGGGCCCTATTTGACAATTTCACAAGATACTTGCACTGTAAATTTAGCATACCCATTTCACAGACAAAGTAATCGTACTCATATGTTAAGTGACTTGCCTAAGCCAACACAGAAAAGCCAGGATTCAAAGCCTTGGTGTCTTGCTTCAAACCCATATCTTTCAGCCATTTTATAAAACCTCTTTCAACTCTACCACAGATATTCTATCAACTTATAGATCATGAGGCATGGGTTAAAATTTAAGTTATAAATAAACCAGTAATGACCAATGTTTAACTAAATGCTGTATTTTTTCCCTTTACACTTTTAATCATTTATTTAATGAGAGAAGGAAAAGTTTAGAGAAGTTCTTAAACTGTGAACTTCTTGTATTTTTTTATATTGACATGTGTTCTATTTTCCTTTTTGTCCTACTCAGGTATTTCTGATGTAGGCATTTTCAAGACTTATGTTATAAGCTACTAATTTGTGATTATGGATTTTAGGAATTGTAGGCAAGACAGTAAAAAATTAGAACTGTAAAGTAAAGGTTAAGTATAGTGGTCCCAGAAAAGAAATGACAGAAAAGCTGACATAGCACAACTCATTTGAAAGACCATGTTCTGCCAGGAACCATAATCGTCATAAAATAGAAATTCAAACAATATATTATCAAATATTATAGAAATCATTGGTGGAATAAAGTATTTCTCAGTATAAGAGCTACTTTTTAAAATTCACTGCTTTCTTTTTTTAACTTAATTTTAATAGAATATTAGTACAAAATCTCTGTGTTACTTTCAGCAAATTTCCCTGAGATAAATCATTATTCCTCGCTCATAATGGTCGTTAACTTTTTATGTTTATAGAACTAGGGACACTTGTTTGTACAGACTTCAGGAGTTCCGAAGATTATCTCTATATTGAGAGAAAAATATATAAAATCTATCCTTGCCTTTTAAAGTTATCAGACATTCTTGTAAATGCATTATTTTAAGAAGTATATGTCAACATGCAAAGGTTGTCAAGAAAACTTAGTATTTGAAGCCAGGTCCCCATTTATAATATATGCAATTCGCAACTTGTGATCGTATCTTTTTGAAGCTTTTTAGAGGACAACATGCATTTTTTCATATACTTTCTCATAGAAATACAATAATATTTTCAATAATGAATTAATGGCAATAACATTTTAAATATTAGTTAAGTTCCCAGGTTAGTTCATTTTTTAAAAATCTACTAACCCCACTCTGCAGTTTAATTACTGATAGTATAAATGTTTGCGGCTATGAAAGATTTTATTTTGTAATTAAAAATTAACAGACATTTGAAAAAATGAAATGCAGTTAAAAATTCACATCATAATTAGGACATAAAAAATTAGAAAGACATACCACATATTTTATGTTAAAATATGTTGGGTTTCCTGCTAACTTTTATTGCTAAGAATATCTTGGGCCCCAAAACTTTAAATAATGTAGACTTAGTTTTTAGTTGCTGGATACCTGTTCCTACTATTTTCTTGTGGAATCCATGGAATTATGTTTCTTAACCCGTTTTTGTGTTTTGTTGGTCACCTCGCTTTAATCCTGCCTTTTAAGATCCTTTAACTATTTAGCTGATAATTTAATATCTACTGCATATATGTTACATATAGTAGATGTTTGATATTTATGGACTTTTGAATTTTAAAGTTAAAATTCACTTCTACATAACTCAGTCTTATTTATTTAACATATTTTATGGTAGTATGAGTGAACATTTTAATGTTTTCTGTATGTCTATTGTAGTATGAAATGAGCTTTTTAATGTTTTCTGTATGCCTAGCAAAGCACATTTAAAGAAGTATGGTTTTACATGTTAAGCTACTATTGTGTGTGAAAGAGCTTAAATCAAATGCCTGCACAATCTTTACTAAATACGCATAAGTGTTCCTATATAATCCTCACTTTATTTCTTTAAACTTTATTCAGAATTAAGATTAGGTTCTCCTTTAAGATTTCTTATTTTTGGTTATGAGAAGCACTAGATTATTCAAAAGATTATAAATTTTTAAAAGGGAGAATAGATAGAAGGTATTAATGATTAGAGTCTATTAAGGCAGTAATACCTTATTTATTACTGCTTGCTCTGCCACAGAATTTAAATGTTGATTTAGAACGGAAAATTTCAACCCATCACCATTCAGTTATATTTGGGGGATCAAGTGCTTAATTTTAGATATCTTTCTATAATTACTTATAAAAATATAACATTTCAACCTAAATATAATAGTTTGAATGGTAGTTTTTTTACCTCCTAATATGCATTCTGGTTAAATAAATTTTACTTCTAGTAACCATAGTATTTTTATCTTCACCATGTAAACATAATTCGAAGAAACTCTGCTATAAATAATCATTTTTCTTAAGCATTTAATGAATGGAATATCAGTTATGCCAAGCATCAAATAAGTTAAATATCTTCTTCATGCTCCTGTCCTCTTAGGAGCCCTCATAAGTCATCAGCAGATTTATTTGTGTTTACTCTTTCTGTAACTAAGATGTATGCATGGAACAGAAACCACTTACATCATTTTAATATCTTTTTTATTAGAACAAACTAAAATTTCTATTTCAAACTATATTTTTTATTGTAATAACTCAGGTATTGGTGACTTACTTTAATAACTACAGGTCTGATTCCTCTTACGTATTTCAAGGACACGGGTGGTCAGAAATCGTGAAAATTAAACAGATGGATCATCTCTTGGGATGCTCTGAGCCAGACCATTTCCTTCAGCAACTAAACATAATTTTTTCTTAAAATGACACATGTGTAAGAATTGGGTTTAAGCTGAAAGTACACAAACTATAAAGGGCTAAAACAAGAATTTTTAGAACAATTCCAATTTAAAATTGGGGTTTAGTGATTTAAATTGCAATTTAGTGATTCAAAGACCTTATCATTAATAATTTTCCTAGCACATAACTGTTACAGAAGTATCCTAGCTATTGCTTTGTCAAAAGAAAATATTAATGGGAAAGTTAAAATATAGGTCTGTTCTTCACTATATTTTTAGGTAATGTATACAGAATCTATGAATATTGCTAACTTGGATGACTTTTTAAATTATTTTATTAGATGGCTGAGAAGGAAATAGAATTGTTTCTACGAAATTATATTTTTGCTCTTTAAAACTAACTATAAACCATAGAAAATGATGAAAAATGAACTCTCTACTCACTGTGTGTTTAAATAGTCCAGGTCCATCTTTAAAGATTAAACGAGGATTCATTTCTCTGGTAGTATATCATAGTTCTGTGATTTGATGGCAGGGAACAAAGTGAAATACTTACCAAACATTATTGTCAAGAGGGCAATCGGCATCACAAACAATCCAACCAGCAAATCGGCCACTGCCAGGGACATTAGAAAATAATTGGTAGCATACTGCAGCTTTTTCTCCAGTGAAACAGCTAGAATAACAAGGATGTTTCCACCAATTGTGGGTATTATCACCATGAGTATCAGAAGAGCTGCCCAGCGCGGTTTATTCCCCTGTTCCTCGCCAGTCTGTTTCATTTCCTCTCGTATCGATCCTGTCTGTAATCCAGACCAGTTAGAAGAGATTAAGTGATCAAATGAGCTCTGCAAAGTGTGCTCAGGAATTGTGCTTTGTTCGGATACTCTATAGGAGAAAGCCATTCGCCGTTTTTCAGTGATTTGATCCGATTCTGGACATTGGTCAGCATGATCAGTAGCTAAGTTGGTCATCTGCTTTTTTAAGGCATTGTACCCATGCCAAATACTCAAAGCCAAAGTTGACTCTTTCCTTTTAAAAAAAGTCTCAGGTTCTCTGAAATGAGAGCGTACATGCATCTGTCCATGTCTGTAGGTAAGGACCAGTGTTGTATATTCTGCAGAGGCTCAGATTTCAGATGATTAGCGAAAGAATCCAATAGCTGTAAAAAAGGACTATTTTATTAGTTTCTCTTTTTTTTTATAGTGGTAGAGTTGTGTCTGAATTTGAATGCCAGAGAATTCCCCTTGATATGAAATACGTGGATTGCATTGTTTTATTTATTTTCAAAAAACAATTTAAAAAAACAATTGAAATTAGTAGTCTCTCTTTTCTCAATGGATTTCTTCTGCCTTTGTGACAGTGCAGCCAGTTCCCACAAACATATTCCTGATATATCTCAATTAATGAAACAGACACATTAATTTTTTCAGTGATTATAATAAAAAGCGAGGTGTTTTTTGGCCCTTGAATATCTTTTTACCTTTACTTTAGAATATGTACAGAGGACTAGAAACATCAAAGTGCTAAATAGTTCTGCATAGGACTTTTTAGTACACACTGGCCACACACCTAGAAACACTCCCAGCCCACCTAAGATCTGAACAAATGGTTTACCAGCTAGCAACCCTTATTTGTAGTTGTGTTTTGTTTGACGAGGTTTATCTTATAGGATGCTATTGCTTTGTCAAAAGAAAATATCCATTATAGGATGCCTTTAGTATGAAAGAAGGAAAAAAAAATAGGTATTACTAGGATCCAAATAATTGTTTTTAGTAAAAAGCATGTTTCTACAACAGATATTTCCAAATTTATCACTATATGCCGGATGTGAACCAGTTTTTTGTTTGTGTATCAATTTTTTTTCTTTAACTTTCTCAGTTTCCTTGGGAAGGAGGGGTCTCTAAGAGGAAGATTAAACCATTTATTCATAAACTCTATAAATCCCGTATTAAAAATTTCCCCTTTAACATTGGTAAATTTTTCATTTTGGTTTTTTCAAACCACTGAATAGAAATGAAAGATTATGATAGCAGAGTTTTTGAAGAAAGAAAAAATACCTTTAGATTAACTATTTATTTGTTAAATACTTACCTCTTATTTGCTTGTTTCCCTTATCTGCTTAGTAGTCCTGCTTGCTGCTGTGACTGAAGTCCTCTTCCCATTGACTTATTCTGAGCCTCCAGCACTGGCACTTGAAAGTAATGAAACTAATTTGTTGTGTAGCTGTAAGCATGCCAAGGAGGTTATTTCCTCTTTGATACATTCATTTTTAGAGTGTAGCGTCATTCATCGTAATTCATAAAACCACTAGTGAAATACGTTCAACCAGTTCGTGACCCTTATTCAAGTTATAGTCTTAAGAGCTCTCTTTAACACCGGGGGGATTGTAATGAACTCTCTGTCCTTTTAGCTTAAAGTAGTTTTGTTTTGAATTCACCCTGAGTTGTTTTACCCATTTGAGAAAAAATAAGACACAGTCTAGAGATTTTAGAGCTTTCATTCTGTGAAGATTCTGCCCTGTGAGCCTTATAGGGATTTTCAGAGTTCTAATATTTAGCAGTGAAACAAGATTCTTATCTGGCTTTTGTGCCTTTGCTGTGGAACATAATTAATTCGCTCTGGTTGCAGCCTTATATAGAAGAGCACAGAACGGTCTGAATTCTGCATGTATACATAGGTTTTAGCAGAAATTTTTTCATTGCTCATTTTTAAACAGATGGCCCCTGAATTTAAGAGTTGGTTCGTTGGCATTTTTTTTTCACGGGTTTATTGGAGAAAGTATGTGATATGTAATGAAAATATATTTCTGCCTTATTTTAGAAAATTGGTATAAAAATCTTAAAAGCTATGTTATCTAAGTTTTCTCTAAACTGTTAGAGTAGCTTAGTACTAGAACTTAAGCATTCTCACGGTTTCCTTTTTAAAAGCTCACCATAGATCACTCATATATTGAAATTATTTAATTACTTCTAGGTCACCAGTAGCAGTTGTACCCTTTTTCTGTTTCAAATTTATATTTCTTAGCTTGTGTGAAAATGATTGGAAAATATTTGGTTCATTTCAGTTCTGCTGAGCACTTCAGATATTATTCAGCATTTTAACTCAAAATTCAATATTTTAGAAAAAATATTTGCTAAGAATTTTGGGTGAAAACAAATAAAATAATACTCAACAACCAGATGGATTTTAATGTGCCAGAATTTCTCTTTAAAATATGGAAATATTTATAAATATTGCTTATTATGATATCAGAATTTAGCATCAGCTTATGCAGGCAGATAGGGGTCTGCAAAACAAACAACATCATATAGAAAATAGCAGCACCATTATATTCAATGAAAAGACTTGTATGAAATAAACCTTCATTGATTTGTGTTTATAGATAAAATTTTTTAAAAATATACATCGAGTATATTAAAAAATACTAACCATTAAGATTTTAATATTTTGCCAGTAGTAACCCTCCTCACCCCCATTCACTGACTTTTTTAAAAAATCTTAACTGAAAGTAGTTAAAAGTGGTACTTGTTATATTTATTTTTGTATTTTTAAATTAGTTTAATGGCTAAGAAACATAACATACTTGTTATATTTATTTTTGTATTTTTAAATTAGTTTAATGGCTAAGAAACATAACTAGTTACTTATTTTAACAACCTTGAGTTATTAGAAGCATGGCTGAGAATCAGAACGAAAGCTAAATAATAATAATAAAGAAATAAATAAAAGGGCAGACAAATATCTCAGATGGCAAAGAACTAAGCCTGTGCTCTAAAACCTCATGCACATTAGATAAAAGGCAGCCTGTAAGTCTCCACTCCAGATTTTTTTGCTCCACACACACACCGTTTCAAAACTGTGTCTTCCCCTCTTTAATGAAAATATTTGCACATGGTGGTAAATCTAAGTAGTACAAGAAAATATTCGGTGATTCATTTACTCTTGAGACAGTTTAACACACATTTCCCTGCCTACTCCAGAGCGGAGTAACAAATTGAAAGGTGGACAAGCACTTTGATAATAGAAAGCAGAATCAACTGAAGAAACAGGAATTAAAAAGTATAGGTCTACTCAGAATAGAGGCTTATAGCTCTCATATAACTCAGCACTCCACAACTAATGTGGTATAATTGATATAGTGGTTACTCCCACATTTTTAAGGAAAGGTTAAATCATCTTTATTCAGCTCTGTTTTGGATGCAGGAATATGTGACATGCATTTTTTTTAAAGATTTTCTTCCAAAATAATATAAATAACAAAAATATAATTCTTAATTGTAGAATGACATTTCAGATATCTGAAAACTTGGTTTGTATAGAATATGTCATTTACCAAGAACTTCAAATAAATTAATTCTTAGTAAAGTAGCTTAAAGGTCAGATTCAGACTCTAATCTGACCATAACCAAAAAACCTGATTGGTGCTTTCTTTCTAAAATACTGAATTTTATCCCCAATGCCTTTTAAATTTATTTGAACCAATTCTATCGTTGACTTAAAAGGGCAGTGTAATATCTTTTCTAGGCCTAGGAAGACAACTTAAATATCATCCAAGGACATTTTTTACCTCTCAGTCTTATCTATCAAACACCAGCCATTAAGGAATTTTTAACAATATTTGGATTGTGTCCATTACATATTCATTCATTCATGAAGTATTCGTTGAGTTCTGTTTGCTTGTGGAGATAAAGTGATGAACAAGAAACAATTTTCTGTTCTTATGTAATTTATAATCTTGTGGGGATATAAATAAGTACATTGATAATTATAATGGAGACATGGTAGAGCTAAGACTAGCTCACTTCAGCAGGGCCCATAGTGCAGCTTAAATATTTTTTGGCTCTTTTTTTCTTTCTTTCTTTCTTTTTCATTCTCTTTGATGAGATCAAAGAGCTGAAACTATAAGAATAGCTATTCCGAACTTAATCTGATTTTCTTAGACTCCTTCACTCATTTTCCACTGATGACTAAATTTACTTCTTATTTTAAGGAAAGACCAATCCGAAAGCTCTATTGCATTTCACCTTCTCTTCTCAAAATGTCTTCATTTTCATTCATTCTGTTCTTTGGAATCATGTTGTCATTCCTCTTTTCCAAAGCTAACTTACACATAAGTTTTTGATTCCACCTCTATTATATCCTTTGCAGTCTTGCTAACTAAATTATCTTCTTTTTCACACAAAGAATCCATGCCTTGAATATTCAGTTCCTCAGCTCTGACTTCTTTCTTTCAGTCATGCTCAGGTTTCCAATTAATGAAAAATAAAACTTTTCCTTATCCCTTAAGTCTCTTTCCATCATCATCAAACTTCTTTAAAGAATTGCCTATCCTTTTCTTACTCCCCACCCAGTCTGTAACCCTTATCAGATTTTTATCCCCAAAATTCTACTAAAACAGCTCTTAGAAAGCCCATAATTAACACCAGTTATTGATTTTGTTTGTGCGGTATTTGGCACCGTTGACTAAGCTTTTCTCCTTAAAACTTGTATCTTTTCTTGGCTTCAGAGACCATTCTGGTTCTTTGCCTTTCTTATAGAATCTATTCTTTTATTTTGCCATCTTAATATTCAGGACCTCCCCCCTCACCCACCCACACACACACCATTATTTCCTGTCCTCTGTTAACTTCCTCTTCCTCTTCGTGTTCTTTCATTCACTCTGTGGTATGGTTTCCATTAACTTGCTGACGAAAGCTCCTAAAACACTTCTCCAGCCTAATGACTATTCTTTTGTGGTCATGAAATGAGAAAAGCAACACACCTAAAGATTAGGAGACTGCAGACAAACCAATTTCTGAGTTTTAAGTTCTCTGCATTTGTAAAAAGGTTGATGTAACCTACTCTGACACTCATTTGTGGACCTCCCTTGCACTTGTACTTGGTGATCCCATACATATTTATGGCTCTAAATACTATCTATACATAGTAACTCCCAAGTTTGTATCTGTAGCCTAGAACTTTTTTTCAAACTCCAGACTCTTATGTTCAATTTCCTACTAAGTATTTCCCTTAGATGTCAAAAAAAAAAATCTCAAACTCAAAATGTCCAAAACTGAACTTCTGCTCTTTCCATCCAAATCTGTTCTGTTGGTTTCTTTATGTCGATTAAAGGCAGTTACAGCCTTCTAGTCTCCTTCTCTCACAACCTGTGTTTTATCCATCAGGAAATCTTGCTGGTTCTGCCTTCGATATATACCAAACTCAAACTTCTTTCCTTCGGCATCCACTACTGCCACCATATCCATGTCACCATCGTATCTTGGCTGCATTTCTCAGGTAGCCTCTTAACTGGTCTTCTTTCTTCTGCCTTTGTCCTCTATTCTCAATAGAATAGCCAAAATGACCCCCCCTTTTTTTTCAAAATGACCCTTTTTTAAACAAGTCAGATTATATCACTTCTTTGCTCATCATCATTTTCCCGTGAGTGGGCTGTATTTTATTTCCCCTGATGGCCTTTGATTTGCCTTTGAGTAAAAGCGAAAAGAAAGTTCCTCTAAAGCCCTGCATGATCTGACCGTGTTTTCAAGTATCTTTGCTTTCTTCACAACACTCAGACTGTTGGCTTCCTCGCTGCTCCTCAGACATGGCGAACATTGTTCCACCGTAAGGCCTTTGCATGAACTGTTTCCTCTACCTCATAATACACTCCTCTTCCAGATAGCCACTTGGCTCACTCCATCACTGCCTTTCTTTCTTTGCTTAAATAGCACCTTATTATTGAAGTGTACCCTGACCACCTTACTGAATACTGCAGTATGCCCTCCTGGCTCTTCCAGTACCCCTTATTTGGTTTACTTTTTTCGTTCTCCTTAGTACTTCACCTTTTGACTGACTTTATTGCTTACTGTCTGTCTCGTACTAGAATGTAGTTAGTCTCTGTCGTTTTCGTTCACTGATCTCTTTGAGTTTATCCCACTTGGAATTCGTTAAGTTTCTACTCTTTCATCAAAATTTGTAATGTTTCTGGCCATTCTTTAAATGTTCTTTTTATCCCTCTCTCCCCCTCCTCTCCCTCTGAGACGCCCTTACGCATATGTGTTGGTATGTTTAATGGTGTCCCACCAGTCCTATAGGCTCTGTTCATTTTTCTTCATTCTTTTCTCTTCCTGCTTCTCAGTCTGGATAATCTCAATTAACCTGACTTCAGTTCTTAATTAACCTAATTTTATTCTTCTGTCTGCTCACTTCTGCTGTTGAACTCCAACTCTAATGAATTTTTTATTTTACTTATTGTACTTTTCACTTCCATAATTTCTATTTGTTTCTTTTTATAATT